GACGGCTCTTGCTCCTCTCCCCCCTTCGCCTCCTCGCCCCTGCTCGGCCTGCACCGCCCGGTGCCCCGTGGCGCCCCGCCGCCCTGCCCCCCCGCTTGCTGGGCCTCGCCCGCACTGCGGCTGCTGGTCCCGCCCCTGGGTGCGCCCGCGACGCCGCCCCGCGCCGCTGCCAGGGGCTGCCCCGCAGCCCGGCCGCCCCGCGCGCTCCCTGCGGCGCTGCCGCGCGAGAGCGCCCTCCTCTCGCGTTCCCCCCTCTCCTGCGGCCGCGCTCCGCTGCTCCTTCCCCCGCCCCCGTGCGGGACAGTTCGCAGATTCGCAACCCGGATTTGCTCGACGCGCGTGTGGATCGCTTCTACCGCGCTGCGACGAAAGAGTGTCAGTGTGTTTTCCTGCTCCTGACCTCTCCCCTCGCCGCCCCTCCGCCCCTCTCGCTTCTGCGCGACCTCGTCCCCCAGTGCACGTAGCTCGCATGTTTTCGATTGCACATAACACGATGTGGGGGCCCTTTGAAACTCCAGATCCGCTATGACACGCAACCGCGGATAAAGACAAAATCGATGCCATGGGAAAGGATGGGTGGGGTGTCAAGTATGGCGCGAACGCCCCCTCTCCCCTCTCCTCCTTCCCGCTCCCTTCTTTCTCCCGCTTGCCCCCCTCCTCGTCCTCCTACTCGTCCACGTCCCCGTTCTCGCCTACGACGACGACGTCGTCGACGCCGCCGTCGTCGACGCCGCCGTCGAATCGATATCGACGTCGTCGTCAAGGACGGCCGTGGCGCGCCTGGATCTTCAGCTCGGTCTGGTTCGTCCCCATGCGTCCTGGGGGGCTCAGGGCGAGGCCGCGGCTCCGGGCCGTGACGCAAGATGGGGGCAAGGCGAGGATAGGGTCGGATGGGGCAGAGCGAGGATTTCTGAGCGCTGACGTGTCTGAAGGATGTACGGCGATGGCATTGGATAAGGGACCATTCGACAAGGAATCCAGGGTCTGAAAGCCACTGAAACTCCAATCGCGGATTGGCCATGGACTTCACACCGACGCCCTCATTAAACAAGAAGCCCTCCACGGTCTGAAGCCTCCGGGGCACATCCCTGAGCCAACGCAGCGCCCCCACCGTGAGAGAGGGATGATCGTACCAGAGGGGCCCATCCGCATATGCCCACCCCCCGAACGCCCGCACTGTGAGTCGGGATGTTCCCCAGAGACGCGTGCGCCTCAAGGGCAGCGCGCAGTGAGGTGAGAGGTAGAGCTATGCAGGTGTTTCCACCGGCCAGGCCGCCATCGACCCCCATCGTCTGGCCCTTCTGCCGAAGGGATCAAGCCTGGCAGAACGCTGCTGCAGAAACCCGCGCGTGCTCTTACTACCGCTCTCCAGTCGGCCGATTTTGCTTCGACGCCGTCGAACGTATCTGGCCGACCCAAGACGCGCGTGCCCACGCCGAAACACTCCCCTGCCTGCTCGGCGTCGCCACCGCGGCGTCTGCAATTGCCTTCCACGGCCTGCACCATCGCACACACACGCCGTACCCCGTCCGCCCGCAGGAGTAGCCTCCGCTGAGGCCAGCGCGACCCGCGGCGCGCAGCCTGCCAGCCGCCGCGTGCGGCACAGCAGCTGCCGGCCGGCGCGCCTCGGCCTGCGCCCGACCGCCGGGGCCCTGCTGAAGAAGGAACCCTTTTGGTTGGGGAGGGGCTCCGTGCTCCTCGACTGTTTCGCAGCCTGCCTCAGGTTTTTCCTATGTTTTCGATCGGAAGTCGAGGGTTGACTTATGGGAAAAGAGGGGCCTCGTTCTCCTTATTTAGGGTTCCTTAGGTCAACGCCTCGACTGCACTTACCACGCGCCCCCCCCCCGATGCCGCGCACACACAGGCCACCACCCCGGCGCAGGGCCGCTCCTACGGGCAACCGAGCCTCGGGCGCCGCGGGCGCTCCGGAGCGCCACGGGGGCGCTCCGAGAGCGTGCCAGGACGAGGGGCAGCGATAGGGGGGGGGACTGGCATATGGGGGGGGGGTAGATGATGATAAGTTCCTTGATGTAACTCGAGCTGCAGACGAGCTACAGAGCTGTTCGGTGCAGCAATCGAAAGGAAATCATCAGACGCGCTAGTGTTAAGTATCTAGATGCCCGAAATCGGTCTGTTACCAGAGCTGGGTCCGAAAAACTATTTGTATTCTGCTATTTTTTGGTGCATCGACTTGGAATCGGCGATACATCGCCGATAGATCGGCGATAGGCCCCCGATAGTGAATCCGCGCCTTCCTGTGCAGGTTGGGGCCATCGGGCCCCTATCGGCGATCAATGGGCGATTGGGGGTCGATGCGTCCCCCCCTATGCCTATCCCCCCTATCGTTGCCCCCGACAAGACGCTCCGAAGCGACTTACCCGGTCCGAGCCCTGCCCGATGAGCAGAGGGCAAAACAATCCGCCCCCACAATGACCACCCCAACACGCGAAGCCGTTTCATGAACGCCCCCACCGAGAGAACCGAGCAGGGCAGGGCTGTTCAGTAAATGCGGGACGGGAAAATGACCACAGCCACTGCTTCTTGTTTGCGCCGCCTTCCAGCCAGCCGAAAAAGAAGCAGTGGTTGTGGTCATTTCCCTGGTGCCAAACTTAACGAAAATGACCACAACCACTGCTTTGTTTCTGCTGGCTGGAAGGCGGCAACAAAAGAAAACCAGTGGCTGTGGTCGTTTTCACGTGCCGTAGTAAACGCCCGAAGCCGTTTAGTAAACGCCAATGGTCTGGTCCGGGTGGCTCTTACTCCACCGAGTGCGGCCCAGCGGGTCCGGTGCGGACGTGCGCGGCGCCGAGGCCGTTCCAGCGCGCCCCGGCCGCTCCCGGAGCGGTCCAGAGCGCTCCGGGAGCGATTCGTGCTCAGCCCGTGGCCTGCCTGCTGGCGGGCGGGGCGGCAGGGGAGGAGGATCGGGCCGGATCGGACTCGGCGCTGCGCTTGTGCTGTCGGGGCGCAGGCTGGCAGCACCGCGAGCGCACGCGTGCTGGCGCGCAAGGCCGTCGCCGCTCGTGCCGCCTGCGTGGACGAGGTCGAGCGTACAGCGCACCGTGCGGTGTCTGCACGACTCCAAGCGCCAGGGGGGGTCATATTCAGACTCAAAAGCCCGCGGAGACCAGGTCAAGCCTGGGCGCATACAGACTCAGGGACGCCAGCGCGCCGAACAAAAACAGGGGGGCAGGGGGGAGGAGGAGGAGGAGGAGGAGGAGGAGGAGGAGGAGGAGGAGGAGGAGGAGGAGGAGGAGGAGGAGGAGGAAGAACAGGAGCGGGAGCAAACAGATCGGCAATGAGGGGGGGCGGAAAGAAGCCGACAAGCACAGACAACGAGCGAGGGGCAGCCATCAGAAAAGGTCGGATTCGTCTAAGAAGCCGTGGGCTTGGCAAACTGGGGGACACAAAGAAACCGATACCGCTGCTCCAAGGACCTCTCCCGGCTTGCGTTCTGACCAGGACTTCGAAGTGCTTCCAGCGATGGCGACGAGGGCCTCTCAGGAGACCCCCAAAGGCGAAAACGAGCAAGGTTAGAGCTCTCGGTGCTTTTTCCTCCTCTCTGAAGGCAAAAAATTACGCACTCAGAAGCTACCGCTGAACGCACCGAATTGGGCGGCTTGCGGTGCCGCAGCTTGGGGCAGACGCCTCGCAACAACAGTCTCACACGGCGGCGATGGCCAGCTGTGGCTGTACCAAAGCGCCCGCGGGCATCGAAGGCGTAATTAGGGCCAATGGGCCCCGGCACTGCTGTCGGGAACGCGCAAGCCCGGGTCAGCACAAACCCTGGTCGGCCCAGGCACTGTCGCGAAGCCTGGCCGGCCGCTGAGTGGCTCCCCCACAGGGGTCAGCGGAGAGCGGAAAGGAAGAATCGTCCCCCTGTGGCCCCCAAACCTGGGCCAGCCAGAGGGGATTGGCTGACCCCCGTTGGCCCGTCAGCGTTGGCCCCCGTTACGTGGGCCCTGCTGCTGAAGATTCGCGGCGGCCCGGCAATGGCCATCGTGGTTGGCAGTAATCCCTGAGACCCGGGCGTTGCATTCTTTTCCACCCCAGGCGTTTTCGCCCAGTTTCGGGCCTTGTGCTTAGTGGGCCCTGGAAACGACTGAGCCGTTTTTTTACCGGTTCCGTTTTGCCGTTTTGTTGCCGGTTCCGACGCCGTTTCTTTGCCGGTTCCGTCACCGTTTTTTGACCGGTTCTGGCTCCGGTTCCAAGCCTGGAGCCGTTTTTTTGCCGTTTCGGGTCGCCGTTTTTTGCCGTTTCCATTTTCAAGGGACATGTCTCTGGAACCGGTGAAAAAATATCCCGGCAAAGCAACCTAACAGCGATATGTAGAAGCATATCTGAAAGCATTCCCCTTAAGATTCAGATGAAAATCCAGTTGTAGAATTCTGCTGTTCTCGCAGTCGTAGTCGCATTCGCGATGACAGTCGCAGCGGCAACGGCAGTCGCAGTCACAGCCTCAGCCTCAGCCTGCCTCAGCCTCAGCCTCAGCCTGCCTCAGCCTCAGCCTCAGCCTCAGCCTCAGCCTGCTTCAGCCTCAGCCTCAGTCTGCCTTCAGCCTCGGCCTCAGCCTCAGCCTGCCAGCCTCAGCCTCAGCCTCAGCCTCAGCCTGCCTGCCTCAGCATCAGCCTGCTTCTCAGCCTCAGCCTCAGCCTGCCTCAGCCTCAGCCTCAGCCTGCTTCAGCCTCAGCCTCAGTCTGCCTTCAGCCTCGGCCTCAGCCTCAGCCTGCCTCAGCCTCAGCCTGCCTCGGCCGCAGCATCAGCCTGCCTCAGCATTCAAAATGTGGCCCAGGAATGGAGTTCTGGGAACTAGAAGAACACGAAGTGGCCTACAGTTGGCTCCGGGCATTCAAAATCATGCCCAGGAATGGAGTTCTGGGAACTTGAAGAGCACGAAGTGGCCTACAGTTGGCTCCGGGCATTCAAAATGTGGCCCGGGAATGGAGTTCTGGGAACTCGAAGAACACGAAGTGGCCTACAGCTGGCTCCGGGCACTCAAAATGTGGCCCGGGAATGGAGTTATGGGAACTCGAAGAGCACGAAGTGGCCTACAGTTGGCTCCGGGCACTCAAAATGTAGCCCGGGAATGGAGTTCTGGGAGGTCGAAGAGCACGAAGTGTGTGACTGTTGGCGAAAAGCGAGCCCGGCTCTGTTCCCGGTTCTCCAGAATGTGGCCCGGGAATGGAGTTCTGGGAGGTCGAAGAGCACGAAGTGTGTGTGACTGTTGGCGAAAAACGATTCCCGGTTCTCCTCCCCGGCACCCGCCCAGACCCCCCTGTGGAGTCCAGATGCTCTCTTTTGACACCACTAGAAACCTATCAGCAAAAGCTGTTAGGTAAAAACGGCCCTGCCGTTTCCGAGGCCCACAAAGGCCTTGGGGCCATCACGGATCGACCTGGCTGGAGCAGCGCAACAGAGAGATGGGGGTCTGGGGCTTCGGTCGTGGCTTCTCGCGATGTGTCTCCATTTCTCCGCCAGGTCGGATCTCAGAGATCAAAGCGAGACGCTCACACAGGGCTCCGGCTGTGTCGGATCCTGTGGGCAATCCGCAGCCACGATGCTGTCATAAGGCTCAGCGCTCGCGTCCGGCGAGGCTGTCACCTGTGATGTCAGGCGCGTCCATCTGGATCTCCGCGTCCGCCTTACTAGTGTTCTCCGTTTGTCCTTCAAACTTTTCGCAGATTCTCGCTTCTCTTCTCCTGGTGTCTCGTCTTGTCGTGCGCGTCTTGATCCATGGCCACCTCAACAACGCCCAACATCTGCGCCAGGCCCATCATCGCCCCGGCTTGTCCTGCTTCGCCTCCTGCTTGGCCTGCATGCCTGCAGCCTCGGCATGGGCGCGTCGCTCGCTTTTGTCTCACATGACCATCGCGCCAACGATACCACGCCATGAGACCGGAGACCGCCGGGCGCGCCGGGAACGCCTCACGAGACGTCGCCAAGAGCTCACAGACCACCGGAGGAAGGTCTGGCAGGCGGCAGGCGGCAGGGATTGCTGGATTACGGGATAACAGCCACTCCAGATCTGGGACAAGCAGGTGGACCCACCAACGGCCCACCATCGCGCTGCCGCGTCGGCACGCGCGGCGCGCAGCGGAATGCAAAGGGGTGCCGCGCCAATACATGCAAATAGCTGGCGGCCGCCGCCGCCGAAGCGGCGCGGCCACGGAGGAGGAGGAGGAGGGGGAGGAGGAGGAGGAGGAGGAGGAGGAGGAGGAGGAGGAGGAAGCGAGGAGGAAGCGAGGAGGAAGCGAGGCCGCGCGCGCCGCTCGAGGCCCTCAGGGGTGCGCGCCGAGGGCGGAGAGGGCGCGCCGACCGCTGCCGGCGGAGGGAGAACGGCTCGCCCTGGCCCCGCCGGCTGCTCGATGGCCTCCTCGCGGCGTGCGTTGCGCGTGGGGCGCCCGCGGGGAGGGCGGCCCAGCTGCAGCAACCTTCGGGTGTCGGCTACACGCAAGAGTGACCCTGGGGTTCTGTTGTTCCCATCCTACTTAAGGACCGCATCCCAGAAATAATTTCGAGCACCCGGAAAAGTGTCAAAAGAGTGTTGTCGAAACAGTGTCGAAACAGTATCGGGCGAGTGTCTCCCAGGGCCCGACACGTGAAAACCCTGGAATGTCGGTACTTTTTTGAGCGCTCGAACTTCCTGGTGATCAAGGCCAAAGTAGGTTGGAACATCGTAACCCTGGGTAAGAGTGACCTTTGGTGCGCGGCCTTTCGGGGGCCGCGGGTGGACCACACCTGGGCGCGCAAGCCGCTGCTACTGCTCCGTCTTCAGCCATCTGAGGACCCATCTGTGCCCGCACCAAAGGTCACTCCGGCGAATGGTCACTCTTACGTCGAGTCGGGGGTGTGCCGCGTTCGGCGTCCAGGGAGAGGGGGGGCGGCGCCGGCTCGGGCCAGGCCCGCTCAGGCCTCGCGATCCGCGCCGTCGCCCCCCGGAGCACGGCCGGCGCGGAGCGCCTCCTGTTCCCGCACGCACGCCGCTCATGGCGGCCTGCAGCGAGCGAAGCGGCATGCTCGTCGTACGCGTTGCCGCCGTCCACCAGGTACTCGGCGGGGTCCGTGCCTGCGAGAGCATTCGGGGCAAGAGCGCATGGCCTGGCTTCCTGGCGAGGAACGCCGCCAGCAGATTCGTCGTCACGGTCACCAAGGACATTGGTGCAACGACTTCTAGAGGATATCTGGCGACTTACTTCTTACGTTCTTGCGTGTAGTCAGGCCGAAGGTCACCGTCTGAAAAGCACGTCCATGCGGTAGACGTTTGCGCTGTCATGCGCTGTCGGCAAGGTGCTCGGCACAGCCATCTCCACGAAGGGGTGGGTATTGGTGGATGAGCTCTGCAGGAATCCACCAGCGGTCGGTCGGTTCTGTTCGTATGCGTGGAAGATTGCCGCGGCAAGTCAATCACGATGGGCATGGGGAAACCGACCAGCAAGCTGGACACGATCAGCGTGGCAAGCCACCATAATCACGTCCGAGAGCGCAGGCATATTCAAGATGCTGATGTAGTCCAGGAACAGAAGGAACATAGTGAAGGGCTTCCGCACAAAACATCGCCCCAACATCATGAGAAATAGCTCGATCTTGTGGACGCCATCAGAATTACCGTGTGAAATCGCCCTTGGGCCCGTATCACGTCCAAGAGGGGGAGCTCAGCTCCCAGGATGGCTTACAAGTCGTCAGTTCCTGGTACTGCACGTGTGTATGTGGCACGCCAGAACCACACCCCGAGGACCCCTGCATGGCCTGCGGCCTCGCCAACGCGTCAGCGCGCGCTGTAAGCTCGGGGTCGTCCAGAGCAGCGCGCGCTCCGATGTGCTCAGCGTCGAAGGTCCGGCACGGAACTGGTGCGCAGCAGTCGCTGCTGCAGCGAGCGGCGACGGAGCCCGCGTCGGCAAGAGGTGGACGTCGATCACGCTACGCACCGCGACGAGCAGGTACTTGGCAGAGTCCCGAGCGTCGCGCGGAGTGCAAAATCAGTCGCAGCCAGGGGGGCCGCGGACCACAATTTCTACAGAGGATGGGCGGTTTGGAGAAAGGGAGGTAGGGATGGGGGGAGGGGAGAAGGAGGAGGAGGAGGTGAGAAGGAGGAGGAAGAGGAGGAGAAGGAGGAGGGGGTGGAGGTAGCGGGTGATGAGGAGAAAAAGGAATAGGATAGGAATGACATGTAGAAGGGGTTGTTGATGATGATGGTTCTGATGCTACTGCTGATGATGAGTGCTGATGATAATGATGATAACGATGATGATAATGATTATGATGATGGTGGTGATGGTGATGACGATGACGGTGACGGTGATGGTGATGATGATGCTGCTGCTGCTGATGATGATGATGATGATGATGATGATGATGAGTTCTGTCTTTCTGCGATTCCCTGGTGAATTCCTCTGGTTCCATTGGTTCTTCAGTGCGCCCTTCGCTTTCCGAACAGATTTGATCCTCTCCGCCTACCCCATGCCTCTGCCTCTCCCTGGCTCCGTTGCATCGAAATTGCCATACCCTTCCTCATGAATGGCCGCGTCCACCATGTCAGACAATCCGTGCCGCAAGCCATGCTTACGACTTTACATCAGCAGTCACAAGGACTCCATGCTTGCACACCATGCGCCCGTGCATAGATGAACACCCCCTGCGTTGACTTAAGATTCCTGCGCGGAAGCCTATATGCGCGATCGTTGCCCATTGTAGGTCGAACAAAATGGGCGACATTCACGATACGGTGGAATAGACGCGCCGTTGCATGTAATGTCGTTACATCTCCTGTCGCGCTGCCGCTTCAGCGGAATACTTATCGATCTTGCAAGTGTAAGCTACATGTTCACTTCGCATCGACGGCCCCCAAATCCCGACCACAACGTCGTCAGAGGAAGCAACACATCGGCTGTCCCACGTTGTCGATCGAGTGGCGCTTCCTCGGCCAAAGAGGCGGTAAACTGTGGCAGCAACTGAGCAGATGATGATACACACACACACATATATATATATATATATATATATATATATATTCAGCCAGCACCAATACACAACCAAGAGGGGAGCTGCCACAGGGCTAGGCCACGGCTGGTGTGTGCGTGTGTCTTGCCCATTGCACTTTCCCTTGGTGGCCCCGTGCCAAACGATACAAGTGTCTCGCCATCGCAGGGAGGCCAACATGATGCATCCGTTTTCTGCCCCACATCCACATGTTTTGTACTTGGCTGGCTCTGGAAACCGTCGCACTTTTCCTTCCGCCACCTTTCGCCAACCTTCCGCTGGCCGACCTGCCGCCGTTTGACTTCCGCCAGGCTTCCGCCAGCCTTCTGCCGAAGGCGAGATGCGCTGAAAGCAACGTCCTCTCTCGAAAGCGCAACGTGGCCTTGTGGCGGAAAAGCCAGTCCCAAACCGAATTCGTGGGCGGGGGGGTCCGTGGCCTCTCCCCCGCACCCGGGACCGCGGCGATTCGCGACTGCGCCATTGGCGAGAGACGACCCTGAACAGCTGCTAGGATACGGAAGAAGACGCTGTGGAGAACAACTGTGCTCTGAAGAAGAGCAACAACGGCATAGACATAAGACTTTGGCGCTCCGCGCGGATTCCTCGGGTCCGCGCTGGACCCCCCTCCCTGGCGCCCGGAGCTCGCCAGGGGCGGCGCCGGAGGCGCCGCCAGGGGGGCCACAGCGCGGACCCCAGAAATCCGCGCGGAGCGCCAAACACTTTATGCTTATGCCGGCTTTTCTTCTTCGAGTGCTGCAGCAGGAGGCCAGAGAACACTGCGGGAGACCAGAGAGACCACGACCAAACACACCACCTCGCCATCGCTCGGACGTCCATTCCCTGTGTTTTTTTGGTTTCGTGCGTGGTTTTTTCGCCAAGTGATCAAGGATGCTCCTCGATGGTCCTCGCCGAAGGAAACATGCACACGTCCGAGCGATGCCAAGCCACGGTAGGCCACGGGCCACGACCGGAGACCACGCGCCACGACCAGCGGCACGATCCCGCAGACCGCGGGCCTCGGAGGCCATCTTCCGAGTCCTACGGGCAAGCCGTTTTGGGAACGCCTGTTCGAACAAACAGTCGACAATCACCGGATTCCCACTCCCGCCCCCCCCCCCCGACCCGCCCCAGGCCTCCCCAATTGTTCAGTGACAGATGCGCGCGATAGCTCAGTGGCAGATGCGCGCGATAGCGCCACCAGAGCAGGCAAAAGACGAGGACTCGAGAATTTGGAACGGAGCGTAAAGAAGGGCAGTGTCTCCTCCTCCCCCGTCCTCCTCCAGTGTGGTGAGAATCTGCCAAGGGAAGGGGCATATGCGCCGACGACAGGGGGAGGAAGAGGGTGCTGGCATGCAGAGCATAGAGTGAGAGGCAGCGGGGCCAGAGGTGGGCGGAGCAGGCGGGTGAGGACAACGGGGGAGAACAACGGGGGAGGGGAGGGGAGGGGAGGAGGCGAGGAGGAGGAGGAGGAGGAAGAGGAGGAGGATGAGGAGAAGGATGAGAAGGAGGAGGAGGAAGAGGAGGAGGAGGAAAACCTGGCAGCGGAACAGCTTTCGCTCTCCCGCGTCCTGCACGATCAGACAGGTACGATTGCTCCAGCGCAGGCACGGTGCCCAACGAATGTGTGCGCTGAAAGCGCCGGTGCGCGCAGAGCGTCGGGTAGCACGCGCGCCCCAGCGGAGTAAACATCCACAGACAAACACAGACTACACGTGGAGTCTGCGGGGTTCAAGACTCATGCATGCGTCTCGGTTTCGCGTTGTTGACAACAGGGGTAATACCGCGCGGATACAGGAGTCCCCCAAGAGCCAGTACAGCGTTTCCCGCGACCCACTGGCGATGGCAATAACGATGACGACTGCCGTCATCACCGCCCCCTCAATCGCTATCACCACCACCGCCATCGCCACCACCATCGCTCGGTTGCGGCTCAAGGCGGCGGGCCCGCTTCCGCACTTCACGACTCCAGCGCGCGGGGGAAGCCCTCTCTCTCTCTCTCTCTCTCTCTCTCTCCCGTGGGACATCTCGTCACATCATGTAGTCGGCCGCGGCTCGCCGCCGCGGATGGCCTTGGCAAGCCTCGCCACCATGCAAGCATTGGGTCGCCTCGGATCGTCGGAACACCCGAATCGATCCGGATCGTCGGAACGCTGGAATCGCCATGGGCCGCGGACCCCGTGGGGTGGGGGACAATTTTGGCTCACTGAAGGCCACATTCCACGGAAGCTACGGTCGGGAACCCTTGCCTGGCGTGTTGCCGCAGCGGCCGCGGCGACGCGCCATGCCCTGCAGGCGTGCAGCGTGTCGCACCGCACCGCGGGACGGATGGAGGGAGGGAGGGAGGGAGGAGGACGAGAGGAAGAGGAGAGGAGGAGGAGGAGGAGGAGGAGGAGGAGGAGGAGGAGGAGGAGGGGGAGGAGGGGAGGAGGCGGAGGAGGAGGAGGAGGAGGGGAAGCAGGAGGAGGAGGAGGAGGAGGAGGAGGAGGGGAGGAGGGAGGAGGGAGAGGAGGGGGAGCGGGGGGGGATGAGGGGGAGGAGGAGGATGAGGGAGGAGGAGGATGAGGGGAGGAGGAGGAGGGAGGAGGAGGGAGGAGGAGGAGGAAGGAGGAGGAGGGGGGAAGGAGGGGGAGGGGGAGGGAGGAGGGGGGAGGAGAGGAGGAGAGAGGAGGTAGGAGGGGAGGGAGGAGGAGCAAGGAGGAGGGAGGAGGAGGGAGGAGGGAGGGAGACAGGAGGAGGAGCGAACGAACCCCTGGGAGAGGCGCGTCGATCTATAAAGAGCGCGCACCGCCGTGCGCGCTCGGGCCCAGCCTCAGGGCGAGGCGAGAGGCCTGCATGTAGTCCTTGTGGATGTGGTACGCGTTGTCGCCGCTGCCGTCGATCTTGATCGAGTGGTAAAACCTGTAGACCACGGCGAGACGGATGAGCACGTGGTCAATCTTGTCGTCATCGGCCCCGTTCGGGTCGAAATTGGTGTCGTGCAGGCCAAGCCTGGCAAGTACGCATCTAAGAAGTCGTCCACGAGGCAGTGCAGCGTGGTGCCACAAGCGCTTGCAGACCAAACAGTGGCTGAAAGAGTCGGGGTGAAACTTTGGGTTGCAGCCAAGAACACAACCTCGAAGGATAAGCGGGAGGAGGAGGAGGAGGAGGAGGAGGAGGAGGAGGAGGAGAAGGAGGAGGAGGGGGAGGAGGGGGGGAGGATAAGGAGGAGGAGGAGGAGGAGGAGGAGGAGGCGGAGGAGGAGGAGGAGGAGGATGAGGAGGTCGGAAGGGCTCGGGCGGCGGAGGCTGGAAGCCAGGGGACGTGGACAGCGTGCCGAACCCACGTGTGGTGTGCCAGGGCTGGCAGAGCGACACGCGATCCAAACTCCTCCTCCTCTTTCTCCTCCTTCTCCTCGTCTTCCTCCTCCTCGTCCTCCTTGTTTTCCTCCTCCTCCTCATCCTGACTACCTGCCAGACCACCCCGACCTGACCCGAAGACCCAAGTTTCGGGTTGGGGTGGTGTGCGGGTTCCACACGATTTTTTTTTTCAAAGTTCCCCACCCCGCCCCCAACTGGAAATCGGGTTGGGTTGGGGTGACTTGGTGGTTGGTGACAAAAGTTCCAGACCGTGGATATTTCACTTTAATTCAAGCAACTACCTTCAGGATCGGATCGGATCGATCGGATTGCCATGGGCCCTGGACCCTGTGGGCTCATGGGCCATTGAACTCACCGAAGGCAACATGTCGCTGCAGGTATACTCTTCACTGTCATTCATGATGTTGGTCAGTGTGGACCCACAACAATGACCCCTTGCAAGCTATGCGCTGCAATCCAGGTGGTGCAACCACTCTTGTGCAATCTATGTGTTGCAATCCTTATGGTGCAAATAACCGACACAAACCAATGCAATGCAATACAATGCAATGCAAAAGTAACCAATGCTATGCGACGCAACGCATCGTAATGCAAATCAATGTAAAGTAATGCACACCAATGTTAATCAAGCAATGCAAATCAATGTGATGTTGCCCAGTGCAAAGCAACGCACGCAGCGCACTGCAAACCAATGCAAAGCAATACGAAGGAACGCACCGAACGTAATGCAAACCAATGCAACATAACGCAAGCATTGCAAAACACAGCGATGCACGGCAAAGCAATGCACATCCATGCAAAGCGGTGCGAAGCAACGCAAAGAACGCAGCGCGATCCAATGGAATGCAATGCAAAGTCACGCAAATCAGTGCAAAGTAGCGCAGGTCCAGAAGGCGACAGGGCGGCGACGGCGACCTCATGGCCGCCAGACCGACGGGCAGGCCCACAGCGACGGGGCGGCGACGGCCAGAAGACGGGCGACGGCGAGGCGGCGACGGGGCGGCGATGGCGACCACATAGCCGCCATACCGACGGGCAGGCCCAGTTCCACTTGTTTGAAAGGGCCCTGGGACACACATACACACACACACACAGAAATACACACAAATAACAGGATTCCCAATATTTTCGCATATTTTCTGGGTCTTTGTCTTCCCCCCTCCCACTTCCCATATTTGCCCATATTTTCGGGGGAATCGACGATTCATTGTGTCTGTGTGTTTTCGTCCCTCCTGATTGTTTTGGGGAAAGAATTGCCTCCACGGAGCGGCAGCGGTCCTCGCGGCTTGCGCCTGTCGGCGGAGGCGCTGGCGCCGTTCGGCCGCCCGGTCCCGCCAACTGGGCGCCGCCCGCGCTGGCTCGCCGCTCCGCGCGTCGCCCTCGTCGTCGCGGTCGCCCTCGTGTCCTGGTCCTAGTCCTAATCCTAGCCTTTGTCGTCGTCGTCATCGTCGTCGTCGTGGGCGTCGCCGTGGTCGTCGTCGTCGCCGTGGTCGTCGTCGTCGTCGTCGTCGCGGTCGTCGTCGTCGTCGCCGTGGTCGTCGTCGTCGCCGTGGTCGTCGTCGTCGCCGTCGTGGGCGTCGTGGTCGTCTTCGTCGTCGTGGTCGGTCCTCGTGGTCATCGTGGTCGTCGTGGTCGTCGCCGTCGTGGTCGTCCACGGCCGCCGCTGCCGCCGCCGCCGCCGCTGTCACCGTCGTCGTCGTCGTCGTCGTCGTCGTCGTCGTCGTCGTCGTCGTCGTCGTCGTGGTGGTGGTGGTGATGGTGGTGATTGTGGTGTTGGTGGTGGTGGTCGTCGTCGTCGTCCTGCTCGCGCCCGTCCCCGTCCTCGTCCTCCCCACTCCGTGTCCTCGTTCATGCCCTTCTTCTTCCTCGTCGTCTCAACCCTCACAGGCCCTCCGCTTCGTCCAATTGTTCCGTGTCCTCCTCTTCCTCGTCGTCCTCTTGGTCATCCTTCTCCCTCTCGTCCGCGTCGTCGAAATCACCGTCGTCAACCTGCCCACCCCTCAAAAGGCCATGGGCGAACTGGTCGGACCCGTCCAGCAACTGTGCCTAGGGCGCCCTCCCCTCGAGAGGGCGCGGGGGTCGCTGGCCAGTCCTGCATTGCGGCCTTCTTGGGGCACTCACGGGTATTCTTAGGGCCCTCGGGGCCTGTCTCGACACTTTCACCAACATCGTTTTGGGCCGCGTGCGTGATGCACTCCATCAGCGTCCGCATTCTCTCTTAGACGCGCTCGGTACCCTCCAACTAATATTGTTCGAATGGTGTTTCCTGGTGAACTCACGTCATCCTGACACTTAACGTACGAGGGTATCAAATTCCCAACCGAGCGTCTGCTTGGTTTGTGCTCAAATCGTGAGAGCGGTTCCGAATCCCAAACCTAGCAATTTCAGGTGGGAGGTCCTCCCAAAACTGGCTGCCAGACCCGATGCTACACCCGGTGGCGCCTGTGTGGCTCCAACCCCACCTCCCTCCCCCCAGGAGGGTCCTCCTCCCTCCGATCCCGCGCCAGCGATCAAGCTCGTTACCATCAACGTCACGCTTCTCAAACGAGACTTCTGCAAATATTGGAGAACACTGTCACCCAGCTGATCCTCCTGCAAGAGACCCGACATGATCGACTCTGGCCTGGCTGGGCCTTCACGCTTGCACGGGCGCTGGGCTGGAATATTGCCTTCAGCCCGCCAACACCCAGCAACCGACAGGCAGTCACAAACGGCGGCACCGCCATCCTATGGCGCCCCACCCTGGGGAAGACCACCGTCGTCCGAGATGACGCCTTAAGCCGCAGAGCTCTCGGCCTTCGCATACCACATGCTCTCTGTATTTCTCGATCTACGGGCCCGCTCAGACCGACGGTCCCTGGCAGTGGATGAATCGTGCACTTAACCACCCACTGCTGGCCATCGGCGACTACAGTTGGCGCCCTTCCTACGAAGCCCTCTTCGACGTTGGCTGGAAGAAGGCTCCGCCTACTATCACGACGACGGCTGATACCGCTCCAACTCGGGCTCCGTCCTTCGGAGGTCCAGACCCTCCCACGCCAGAGTACCACGACCGACTCCACCTGCCCAGGGTCCCACACCACGCCCGCGTCTACTGCCAGGCCCGTGTGCAGCACCCTGCACTGCGACCTAGCCGACGGCTCACGCACACCGTGGGCTACGCCAGACTCACGCGCATCCCCGACGACGCCGAGCTCATCCAGCACGCCGTGGACGCCCTGCATTCTCACCAGCTCCGGCTTCACCGACCGCTGGACCAACAGGCACGAACGAGCAGAGCACGCCCACAAGGAGGGAATCAAATCTGGCTGGGTCCAGGTCACGCGACCGGGAGAGCGGGCGAAAGGCAGCCTCGCACGGATGCGACCGACCGCCACGCCCTCGTCCCACCGGCCTCTCCAAACAGTAACCCACAGACGCCCTCTTCGAAATCAACGGCGGTTCGCCGAGGTGCTCTGACGCAACCCGCGACCGCAGTATATGTCATCACGCCACTTGGACTCCTACGCCCGCCTGGGGCTTGACGGGCACATTCACATCACCGACTGCATCCCCACCTACAACGACGCCATCGAAGTCCTGGTGACGGGCATCACCGATTTTGAACGGATTGCCGCCAAGGGGGCGGTTGCCCGATGGCGCTCAACATTTGCAGCGCGGTCCACCTCGCTGTGGACCACCACCACGCCTATGTTCAAGGAGACCCCTCCAGCGGCACACCCGAGCGTCGACTCCTTCCGGCAGACCTGCCAGCAGCAGTGGGCTCCCGCCGACCACGACGCCGAAGGCCACCAGGAGCGCTGGCGCTCCTGGGTGGCCAACGTCAGCTTCCCAAAATCAGACCGGGCAACCGATTGGCTACCGGACTACCACATCCTCGGCCACGCCCTCCAGAGCTCCCAGTGTGCGCCCGGAAAGATGGATGGACTGGCACGGAGCTCCGCCTCGTGGCCCGGCTTGCCCCAGAGCTGGTCTACGAGCTCCACCGCCTGCGCAGTGTGACACCACCCGCGAGATCGCCACCGACGGCATCACCGACGCCACGGCCATGCAACTCTTCGGTTGGAAGATCGTGGGCATCCCGAAGGGCGAGGACGACTCGCGCCCCATCGCCGTGGGCTCCTGCCTCCTACGACTGTGGCTCTCATGCCTCGCCCGGGCAGCCCCCGAGCCGCCGACGCAGCAGTGGGCGTGCCGACGAGCCACTCGTGCTACTCACGCCATCTCCTCGTGGCTGGACACCTGCACGCTCAGCGGCGCGGGCTCGGAACACGACCTGTCCAAGGCACATGACAACACAGATTTCGCCATCGCGGAGGACGCCTTTGGACGGCAGGGCATGCCGCCGCACATTAGCCCGCCTGTGTGCGGCCGTGTGGCGTGCCGCCGCGGCTCTACACGATGGGAGGCGAGCTCAGCCAGCCGACCTGGCCACGGTGCGGGCTCCCCCAGGGCGACAGCCTCGCCCCCAAACGCCATGGTCGGCGCCCTCTCATGCCGTGGGCGCCCGACTCGGGCCTGGCGTACATGGGCGACCGCAGCCTCACGGCTGTCGACGACACCGACCTGGCGGCAGACGTCGCCATGACCGCCAGGTTCGAAAGCGACATCGGCTTCACGGAGAACGCCGCCAAGCGGCAGACCTGGAGCGTCACAGACGACCCACCAAAGCGCATCGAGCACCTGGCCTCGCGGCCGTCCCCACAGACCCATCTGCGCCAATCTCGTTGCGTAAGGGCTGGTCAAAGATCGAGTCGGGCATCCGCATCTTGAAAGCCTCCCGGGCAACTTCGTGGTGCGCGTCATTATCGCCATCGCCTACATACGACCTCACTGGACTTGGTCAGCCCCGCTGCTCACCAGTCCCGGTAGCCTACACGATGAGTTTGTACCGCGCTTTGCTCAATACATGGTGAACCTGGTGGTGCTTCGGCCGTGTCTGGGCCCTCCACTCCAATCAGCACCCGCAGTGTTCCCAGGCTCTCCAGAGCCTTCACGCCGTCTCCCACTCCAAGCTGGTTTGGAGCGACTTCATGCAGAACGCTACGGAGGCCCACGCCACGACCATGGGCTCGACCTTCATCACATACAGCGACACATCCGGCGTCCAGCTCGAGGTGTTCCCTATGTCAGTGCAGTTGTTTTAGCTCGGACCGCGCGGCAGTCCAACTGCGGGTGCAGTCCCAGGGCCCTAGGACTAGGGCCAAAACAGCGGCGAGCAGCGTGCATGCCACAAACATGAAAAGCATGCACATCATGCGCACACGGTGGCACGGGCGGCAGAGGGGCAGGGGAGTGCACTCTTCACACTGGGTGAGTACAATGCTGCCCCGATGCCGCTCCCTACGAACAGGAAGCGCTGCACGCAGTTATCGTCTATGCCGGCCCACAGGCCGATACACCTCAAGCAAAGTGCGGCCTGAGGCTCAAAATATAAATATAAAATATGAATGTCTAGATTCACTAATCCAGACTGTCAACTCAATGTATGTGCATACATCACCGTAGCCCTCACTAGGTCCATCAGCGTCTGCAATCAGGACCTCACGGGCTCGCAGGCCCTGGAACGGCGACCCGACGCTGGGCCTTCCGCTCCTTGGCTCTCTCACGCTGTCCGCGGCGCAGCCGCAGACGGTGTGCCTCCTCATCCTCTTGCTCAGCAGTAGGCACCATGCTGAACAGTCCGTGGCGGAGGAACTGCGATAACACCTCGTTAGGCTGCACGGCCTTTGTCAGCACGTCCGCTAGCATGTGGCTATTGGGCAGCCACTTGAACTTGATGGCCTCCTGCTCAATCAAATCCTTGGCCACCAACAAGTCAATGAGGGTCTGCCGAGACACCGGCATCGAGCCGATCTTGGACGCGTGGTCGTAGAGCGACTTCGCGTCCGTCACCAGCGCCCCCGGAACCTTCAGCGCCAGCCTCCAGTCCCCTTGCAAGGGCGGCTCCCCGTGCAAGACTGCCTCAATCAGCAGCCTGAGGTAAAGCTGCCGATCCAAAGCCACGGACATAGCCGCAGACTCTGCGGCCATCGTAGATCCAACAACTCGTATAATAGTACTGCTCTGGAACTCCACTAGACAACATACAGCTAGCTCCTTCAACACTCGGGTATCCGTAATCATACTCATGAACCCGATCTGGCTCTTACAGCCGGGTTCCTTCGCAAACGAAGCGTCCGTAAGCGTGAGCACCTGCAAGCGCCCGATGTCCACGCGGCGGATCCGGAGAGTCGCAAGACCTCTCTTGTCGTAGTCCTGAAGCCGGTCGATGATGTCATTGAGCACTCGCAGGTGCAGTAACCTCCGACCATTCGGATCCTTCTGTGCGAGCGCCG